AGAACCATGAGCCATGTTATAGCAGCAGGGATTGCACTGGTGCCAGAGCCAGCATGATGTAGGGATCTCTGGGAACAGCAGTGGCAGTGACCTCCCCTCCAGTTACAATTTTGAAGCACAGGTAGAGTGCACTAGCTTTGAGGTTTGTGCTGGTTTCCAGCATGTAATTCTATCTGTACTCTTTTGTTTAATTAGAAATATTCACATTTTCTGTAGACTGCATGTGGAAAAAATGTGGACACAACCACCAGACCGTGGAAACTTTTCTCACCCTGCCTAAGGGCTTTTTTCCCCCTGACAAGCAGTGTCTCTGCTTGGCCTTTAATTACAGCTAGCAATAAAGATTTCTCAGTGATGGCTGTACATAAATACAAATATTTGTATTTATTCTGTAACCATCTGTGTTTCATTTGTGTTACTTACGCCATCCCAGTTACCCCAGTTCCTCTCACCATGCTCTGTGTGACCACCCACACTGCTTTTAGCACTCCTTGTGCACATTCTGCAGATAATTAGAAAATTATCTGCTGAGAACAAAAGGCGTAAGTGCCCATCCCATTAGTTCCAAGCCACAAATTCTACTAGTCACAGAGAGTCCCACTATAAATACCACAGCTGATTTCATCAGGTTTTGCTGCATTTCTTGTTAACTTCATGAGCAGTCACGGTTTATGAACTTTGACTGAAATCCAGTTTCTATACAGTCTGTTCTGACATAGCTGGGAAATTCGAGGACTCTTCAGATCTCCACTTGAGGACAGAAAGTTTGGTGGGTCTCGGGAGGAGCTGTGGCAGGCGATTCCCTGCCTATGGCAAACTGGTCATCGGGTCGTGCTCTGGGATGGGGCAGTGACCGCCGGGCTGGGACTGGGACTGGGGCTGGGGCTGACTTCGGACTCTGCTCACACCAACGCCAAGGCCAGGCAGCGCCGGACCGCTGCCTCCAGCAAATCCTGCTCCACAGCAAATCCTGGTCCCTCCACACTCCTTGTACCCCGCTCTCCCTGCCGCCGGAGCGCTCCCGGGATGGCCCCAGGACCGAGCCGCAGGAAATTCCTTGGCTCTTGCGTTCGCTGTATGCGCTGCTGGGAGCGCTAAAAAAAAAAGAAAAAAAAACCAAACCAAACCAAACCCAAACCAGAAAGAAAGAGGGAAGGGCGTGGGATGCAGCTCCAGCCTTTAGGAAAAGTTGAAAACTTTTCTCTTTTTCCTTTAGGGAACTTTTTTTTCCCCGGGGCAGCGCGCGCCCGCCCCAGCCCCCGCAGAGCCCCGTCCCCGGCGGGGCTGTGGCAGCAAAAACCTGATGACCCCCCCCCTCCGCCTCCGCGCCCCCCGCCCGGCCCCGGCCGCACTCACCCATGGCCCGGCGGGGCTGAGCCCCCCGCGCTCCGCGGCCCGGGAGCGCAGCGGGGCGGAGCGGGGCGGAGCGGGGTCCGGCGGCCGGAGCGGGGCCGCGCCACGTCGCTGCCGCCCTGCCCCCGGCCGGGCAGCCTGGGGCTTGTAGTCGCCCTGCCCGGGGGTCCCGGGCCGGGGGGAGCTGCGCCGCCCCGGCAGCGATGGCGAGGGCCGGGGAGCGGGAGCCTGATCCCGCGGGATGGGTGAGCCCGGCGGGAAGCGGGGCTTGGGCGTGTGAGCGCGTCGGGAGGCTGCGGGGTGGCCGGGGAGGCTTTACGGGCTAATCGCTCTGGAAACGAGGATATGGCTTTCGTGGCTGGAATGACAACTCTGTCCCCATTCTGTCTCATTTGAGCCAGGAACAGGAGTCTCCTCGCTGCCTGCTGACCTGCTCTTGTGCAGAGCTTCTCCCCCCACCCCAGGCGAGAAAGCCTCTGGTAAGTCCACAGGAGATTGACAGTTTGTTAATGATTTGAGGTAGCTCGGCTGGAAAGCCAAAGAAGCCTGCTAGGAAAGGGGTGACCATTTCAAAGCTAAAACTAAAAGAGCAGCAGGGGAGGTTTAGGTTAGATGGCAGGAAAAGGTTTTTTGCCCAGAGGGTGGTTGAGCACTGGAACAGGCTCCCCAGGGAAGTGGTCACAGCACCAAGCCTGACAGAGTTCAAGAAGCGTTTGGACAACACTCTCAGGCACATGGTGTGACTGTTGGGGTGTCCTGTGCAGGGCCAGGACCTGGACTCGATCCTGATGGGTCCCTTCCAACTCAGCACATTCTATGATTCTGTGATTCTGTGATTAAGTTTGCACTCTTAACTTTCACTGGGACAGAAAGGATCATCTCTTGAGCTGATCTCTTTCCCCCTGCACAGTGCTCCATCAGACAAAGCATTTCAGTGTTCAGCTTCCCTTGCAATTAACATTCTTTTTCTGCTGAGTGGAACAGGAACCTTCCTGCTGTCCTGCATAAAAGACACCGGGACTTGCACTTGGATGCAAGATTTTTTTCTGAGTCTGAGGCTAATTTCATGTATCCCAAAGTCCAGTTTGCTAAACAAAACATGATACACCTCGAAGTGCTTTCAAAACTCTTTACCACAATAGGCAAACATTCTCCCTCGGTGCTGTTCGTGCAAACAGCAGCTGCTGGGCAGGTTGAGCTGTGCTGAGGTGCCCGAGATGTTCAGAAGTTTGCTGTGACCCAGCTGGCGTGGGGACCAGCGAGGGAAGATGTGGTGTCACAGCATCCAGCAGGGACTGCCCCTGAAGGGGAGGTGCACGTGACCATGAACCTGCATTGTGAGCTGGCACTTGACTGCTGGTAACATTTTGTTTAATACTTATACTAAATTTTAGTATTTAAGATGTTATAACCACACAAGCTCCAGAGCAGCAGTCTGTGGAGTCTGTGCTGGTCAAGCTCTTTGTCACAGTACAAAGTTGAATTTGGACAGGTCTGCATCCGTGACCATCGTGCCTGTGGTGCAGGCACACCCCTCTGACACAGACAAAAATAAACAGGTTGGGTGAAGAATAAAGAACACAAGAACACTTTTTTTTTTTAAAGAGCCCTTTCAGTCACCCCACATTTTTACTTAATAGGCCATTTAAGAGAAATATTTAAATAATTATTATTATTCTAACTATGGGGATACATTTCTTGTCTCTGCTCTGCAGACCAGTGGTACCAACTCTTTTTTTGTTCCAACTCATAGTTTTGGGATGCTTGAGATGGGCCATGTTGGATCATGTGTATCCTTTCAACTTTAGTCTGTTGGATATCTGGCTGCAACATGGGCAGCAGCTGATCAAATGTTTTGGCTTTGTTTCTTCCCCAAGTTATATATGAAAAGTGTTTCAAACCATCTACCTGGTTTACAGATTAAATACATGCTTCCCATTCATATGCTCTAATTTCAATGCAAATAAAGTATGTAAAAATAGTTTTTCTAAAACCTTGTATCTGATACAGACTGACATTTCGGGTGAGCTGTGCTGTGAATTGGAGATGTCACCCATGCATGGTTCCCTACTATGCAGAGAGCCAGAGGTGACCCAGAGTCCTCATCAGGCACTGGCCAAACCCACCCTTGGCTACTTGATCTGCAATTTCCCTGAACAATCCCTTCCTTCTGAATTTAATTCAGCGTGAGAAGGAAGAAATTATACTTTTCTCCATGGTCGCTCAGCTTTCATTTATCTGCCACCCAACCATTCTCTGGAAGCTTCCTGGTCTCTTGACAGCACAAGAATTATTATTGTTAGCACAGACAACGAGGAGGTGAGGTTCTGGGGAGCAAGCACAGGCAGAGCTTTATGGTGTGTTTACAAAAGGTGGCTGAAAAGGTGACATCAGTATGTACAGAAATGCAGCTGCCACGTCGACACTGTGCGTGGCTGTGGGTTGTGGTCGTCTGGGAAAAAAGGTGAAAACCTGCTGTGGTGAAAACAGCAGGGATAATTTGGGCAGGAAAAAAAATCTTCCTTTGTTGTTCTTAAAGCACACCTTTCTTATCGTAACATTTGTGATTAATGGGTATTCTGGGCCTGCTGAAGTCAGTGCCTTTGTCCCGAAGATCCACATATGAGAAGGTCTGGAATGGCGGATCCACCAGCGCTTCATGTGTGCCGGCACGTTTCTATCCTGGCTCCCTCCTGCGATGCCTTCCTCCTCCTCCTCCCCTCCAGACCGTGTGCTTTGGCAGTGCCGCTTCCCCCTCTGATCCTTATCTCGCTCTTGGCTGCCGGGCTTGCGGGGCTCGAGGGCGCGTTCCTGCCTGGCAGCCAAACAGCGCAACCCCAGGGCTGAGCCGCAGGAATGCGCTTCCCAGAGAGCTCGGCGTTTGGAACGGCAGCCTGTGTTTGGTAACACAACCCGGCCGTGACTGCTGGAAAACGTTACCCTCCACCTCTGGGCCGGGGCAGCTAGAAGAGGCTTTAAAATCACAAATTAAAATACAAATACAACGGGGAGAAGGAAAGCCATCCTGGCAAAGGGAGGACAAGGTGATCAGCGACGCTCATCACACACTTGAGCTCGTTTTCTCTGATTATGATTGACCCTTAGGAAGGGGTTTGGGGGCACCAAACTGACCAAGCTCTGTTCAGTTATTGATGAACACAACCTCAGAGCCAGCAAGACCCTTAGATGGGCTCGAGGAGCCGCCTGAGCCTGATTTAGCCCAAATTACCCTTTTCCCATCTGAGCTCTGAGGATGACAGCCTCCATCCTTAAATTAGCTGAGGGGTGCTGGGAGAGCTGCTTGTAGGGCCAAGGGTTCCACGGGACAGCAGGAGGAAGGAGCCCATGGGACCCGCCTTGGTTTCCATTAGCTTGGTTTGCTGCCCTGCAATTTTTGACTTAATTACATTGTTTGCGAAAGGAGAGTTTGTAAACGCTTGTCACCAGGAGAACAAAGTTACATAATTAAACTATTTAGCAGAGTCTGTGGCTTCAGTGCAGTTCTCTGGGGTGATTCAGCATTCCAATAAAAATACTGTGTGATACCATAAATATTGTAAATGGCTCTAGATGGTTTCCAAGGGCTATGTCAACTGCTTTTTTGCATTCAAAGAGAAAAGAATAAGTGAAATCACGGGGAAGATAAAATTTAAATAAATAAAATAAATGGGAAAATAAAGCAAAAATATTTTCTTTCGTATTTTGAAAGCTCTGGAGGATGTTTTTGGCCAGCATGAGAGAAGACTGTCATGTTTACCAGAATAACGAACTGAGGGTATCTCTGTGCACTTGCTTATAGGTTGTGTATGTGTGTCTATCTGAGCACGGATGCTTAGATAAAATCTGCCCACAACATGGGGAAAAACCTTTTTTGTTATTTGAGTGTTTGTGGCATTTGCAAATTCCAGCCACAGAGCCCAGGAATGCACATCTTTCCCTGGCCAAGCTGTCAATCTCCTGCCACAGCGAGGGCAGCTGAAGGAGGATGCCACGGGTGGCCAGATTTGAGGGATTGGATTATCTGTATCATTGAGAACTTGGAAAGTTTGTTTAAAAGTTGTTACTGAAGAAAGACAAATATTTGCCAGGCATGATCCCACCGTGCAATGACAAGTAAGCTGTATGGAATGTGTTAATAAAATATAAATGCTCTGAAAAGGAAACAAATGTTTTGGATGTGAAAACAAGGGCAAAATGGACTTGTGGCACCTCCAAAAGCAACAATTGAGAACATATTTACATGGACTGGGCTGAATTCTCTTGTGTCTTCTGAGGAACATAAATTGCAGTGTGTGCAGATTGGCCAGTAGAGCAGTGGATTTCCAGGGTGCCATAAAAACCCAGATACTGCTCCAAATATATTGAGGTTTGTCCATCTTCTGCTAAGATGGAGATGTGGGTCTTGGCTGCTCAAGGAAGGGGGGGGTCACCTGACTCACTGAATGAGTGGCCTGTGACAGACCTGGAGCAGAGGCTTTGGTGCTGCCCAGCGTGGGGACCTGAGGTCACACCATGCTCTGCTGCAGGCTGGCAATCCCCTGCAGCCTACGGGCAAATCCCTTCTCTTCCCCAGCCACAAATGGGGCAGCTGCAGTGGATCTGCACAGGCTCCAGCAGAGGCTTTTGGCACATGAAGGGCCAAGGGCCAGTGGTGGATCATCCTGCTGCTGATGTCCCAGAGGTGGAGTTGCCATGGTGATGCCCCAGTGCTGGAGCATCCTGGTGCTGTTGTCCCGGGGGTGGTGTCCCAGGGGTGATGCTCTGGCAGGGGGCTCTGAGGTGGTGCTGGGAACACCTCGGGGGGGAACCACGAGATCCCACTTGCCACTTTGGGAAGATGCACATCCAACATCTCCCTCACAAGCCCAGGGGCAGCTGCTGGACTCGCACTGGCAGAAACATAGAATGCGCTGGCTGGGGAAGGCTCAGGAACGAGTCCCACCATCCTGCAGCTACTCAGTATCCCCCCCCCCCCCACGGCCGAGGCGGGCAGCGGGCAGCAGGATTTACGGGGAGCAAGCACAGAGAGGGATTTGTAAGAGGCAGCACCGAGAACGACGCGGACCGAGCGGCGCAGGGCGCGTTACAGCGAGGGCGGCGGGGGCGGCACAGCCGGGGCGGGGGCGGGGCTTGGGGCGTTCGTCCGTTTCCGTCCCGGGGAACCGAGCACTGACGGAGATCGCCGGAGATCGCCGAGATTTGCCGAGCACTGACGGAGATCACCGGAGATGGCCGAGCGTTGCCGAAGCGGCGCCCCGCGCACGCGCGGTGTGGCGGCGCGTCGCGGCGATGGCGGCGGCGCAGGCGGAGGCGGGCGGGGAGTGCTCGGTCCAGGCCGGTCCCGCCGGTCCCGCGATGGGCGCTGTGGGGGCCGCGGGCCCCGCCGTGAACCACCCCGAGGCCGCGGAAGAGGAGCTGTCGCCGCCGCCGCTGCCGGGGCTGCAGCTGGTGCAGCAGGGCGCCGAGGCGCACGTGTACCGCGGGCTGTTCCTGGGCCGCAAGGCCGTGGCGAAGCTCCGCGTCCCCAAGCGGTACCGGCACCCGGCGCTGGAGGAGCGGCTCAGCCGGCGCCGCACGACCCAGGAGGCGCGGTCGCTGCTGCGGTGCCGGCGGGCAGGTGGGCACGGGGAGAGGCGGGGCTGCCCCGGCAGAACGGACGGACGGACGGACACCCCGGGGCGGTGTGATCGGGGCAGGACAGACACACAGACACCCCTGGGCGGTGTGATCGGGGCAGGACAGACACACAGACACCCCTGGGCGGTGTGAGCGGGGCAGGACAGACACACAGACACCCCTGGGCGGTGTGAGCAGGGAAGGACAGATGGACACTCCTAGGCGGTGTGAGCGGGACAGCCCCCGCAGGACACCCCCCCTCCCCGGCGCTCCCCGGCTGTGCCCGTGGCTCAGAGCAGATCGCAGGCACTTGGCACCTCCAGCGCCATCCTGAAGGGTGCAGAGGGTTCTTCGCATCCCAGGGTGACCCTCTCTGCTCGTCCAGAGCGGCCCCTAAAACACAGCTTGTCCTCGGTGTGTCCCATAACGTGTTTCCCTGGGGAGTCTCACCCCAGGAGGGGCTGATCCTGTTATCAAGCTGGAGCTGCCAGCAGGTTAAAAAGCTACCAGTGCTGGTGGGTTGGAAATAAGTGTTGGCAAGGCCCTTCCAAGATGTGGATTGGTGGTGGCCGGGGGTGATCTCAACCGAAATTTCTGCTTAAGGCTTTTATTGGTTGTGTTTTCTTGTTAGAATAAAGTTGGGAATCGTGTAAATTAACTGTTAGCATTGATTTACTCTTTTCCATAGGGATTCCAGCTCCAGCTGTCTACTTCGTGGATTATGTCACCAACTCCATATATCTTGAAGATATTGTAGACTCAGTTACAGTTCAAGATCATATTTACTCTGTACAGCGGAGTGGAAATGACACCAGCAGCCTCCAGGACTTAGCAGAGAAGATGGGTGAGCTGTTAGCGAGGATGCACGATGAAGATATTATCCATGGGGATCTCACAACTGCCAACCTCCTTCTGCGGCCACCCGTGGAGAAGTTGGACTTGGTGTTGATAGACTTTGGACTCAGTTTTATTTCAGGTCTCCCAGAGGATAAAGGAGTCGATTTGTATGTTCTGGAAAAAGCCTTCATTAGCACTCATCCAGATACTGAAGTGATGTTTAAGGCTCTGCTGAAGAGCTATGCTGCCGCATCTAAAAAATCTGGTCCTGTGATCAAAAAGCTGGATGAGGTGCGACTGAGGGGAAGGAAGAGATCCATGATTGGGTAGAAGAGGGCAGGCTTAGGGATGGGGCAATATTACCTTGTGCGGATAGGGCTATTTATATTTCTAGTTGGGTTTATTTCACATATCACTATTTTGATAACTGTGTCTTCAAATAAATAAATTTGAACGAGTTTAAGTGTCCTAAAGTAACCAAAGTAATTGTGAGATGGGAGCACAGCCAAGAGAGAAACAACTAAAGGTCACTTCTTTCCTAAATGTTAAACATTTCATCTACAAAGTAGTTTGCAGTGTCATTCCACTCGTGTTCTTTGTGTGGTTATAATCATTCAGTCATCTTGCTCAGCCTGCAGACCATGAATTTGTGAGATATTCTTACCTGGGGGTACCTGAGCATCTATAAAAGGTAACGGAGAAAGAGAAATGTGTTATTTTAATTAAAAAAATGTGTTATTTTTCTCAGAAGACTTTACAAATGAGGCATTTAAATCCATTATAAATGACTCCACATATCCTGAAATTTTTCTGGAGACCTGAATTCCAGGACATGGGCAATGCTGAAATACAGCACTATACATAACCCGGATTTATTTTCTTCTGGTAGTACTTTTGGCTTTTTTTTTTTT